CTAATTGATAAAAAGTCAGCACATAACTCACAAGATTATGAGTTCAAATCTCACTGCCAATATGAAGACCTTGTTAGTGGGTAATTTGTAAGTATCTCTATAAGCATTCCAGGGCCTGGAGGCATGTCCTAGCCCTAGTAAGTCCCGAGATCCAACTCACCTAAACTTCTTGTTACCAAAAAAAAAAAACATATCCATCCAACCTTCTTTCCATCACTAGCTCTTTTTTCTTTCTCTTTCTGGGTCCTACCCTACTTGACTCCAAACTCCATACTCCAGGACTTCGTACTGCACTCGTGATCAATATAAATATTAGAATTAATTTTGAATGATTCATATTTACTTATTTTAGTTCTATATTTTACATATTTTTTTATTTAAATAGGTTAAAATTTTAAGTAAAGATAATTTTCTAAATGTTACTCTTAAAAAACATTAAGCCATTACTTAAAAAATTACATATTAAAAGGAATAATACACATACAATATATATATTATATAAACAATTAATATCGTAGCAGGGATTACATATTGAAAAAAACTGTCACTAATGAGATATACACTAATTAGCTTCGGAACACTGTACTTAAGGATTGTGCTTTGATTGAGTTATGATTACAATGAGGAATTGAAGAGTGTCTCATTCATATCTGATTTTGAAGAATGCATATATATATATATATATATATATTTGTCATCAAAATGTTTACTAAGAGGCTAAATCTTTCAACCAATGGTATGTGTAATTTATAAATAAATGTTTACTTAAGGATACTTTTTTTAAATTTTTTATAATTTTCTAAAAATTTAGATCATAAAACATAAATTGTATTCTTTCAACTCACCGTGACCAATTAAATAGAAATTAAAGTTTTTTAACCTATTTCATTTTTGCTTGTACTCGACGTTACTTTTCATTTCTTATTATGACTCTCGAATAGTATCTTGGAACATCCCACCAAATTGACAATTTTACGCTTAAAGAAAGATACCCAAATTAAATGATACAAAACAGGGATGTTAACTGAAATATATTTAAACAATTGTTATTTCTAACAACCTCCTCCATACATACAAGTCGTTCCACCGCATCAGCTCACGCATGATTAGTTATTCAGCATCAAAATTACATAGAAACAATAAATACTATGGCATCTAAGATTCTCCCACTTAAGTTCAATAATAGGGCTCAAGCGTTAATGTCTATGTTCCATATGGGACTTGCATAGAAAATTATTAAATAGAAAATCAACTATATGATAAAACAATTTATTTATAGAAATCAGGAAAACAGAATCTCAAAAACTCTTTCTTTAGTAAGGCTTTATTAGAATGGATAATAAGCATAAATGCACAATCCACGAAGGTAATGAACCGATCAAGTGCAAGTGTGCGGCTAACAAATATTCATTTCTCTGTTCCATGTGCGTTATCTGTCGCATATTAACAAATATGACCTCTTCCAAGCATGCATTTAATCTAGATCATCTAAATGTCATCTCTTTTCAACATAATCCGTCATATTTTCCATTCGAAAAATCTTTTCACCATAACCATGCATCACATAGATCAAATATTTCACTAGGCCATAAAATGAAATGATATCATTATGTCTAAAACATAAGGATAATCAATTATAGAATAAATCTAACTCTGCTCCCAAAACTAATATAATGAATATACTTCAAATAGGGAAATAATCGACATTAGGAGTTAGAGTTATTTCATGATACATCTAAGTCTATTCAAAACAATATTTTGATAAAAGAAAATTTATTTATATAATGGGACACTATTCAATAATGTGTTGCATTTACAGGTCCTACAATAAACGTTTTACACATTTCTCCCCAAGATTCCTCTGCTTGAAATGCCCTATACTACATAAAAGGAAAATTTATAGCTAATCCTCAATTCAAAGACATATACTAAACTCATATTCAGTCTAACCGAAAATAAAATGATAATCATCCGTAGCCTCAAAGTATACTTCAAAATTTGCAACTTACTCCATATCATCTTAACTTGTAACTACAACCCCATAAAGCTTGAAAGAGACATCTTCCATTACCTTACACCATGAATTCATACATCACACATTTGAGCGAACACTTTGTGTGAATTTAAGAAAATTGAATCATAAAACAATCATCAATATAGCCTCTAAAACATTCCTCAATTCAGCATCTCCATGAAATCATAAAATTCATCACAAAAGAGCAATAAACAGCACGCAATCTACCTTATGTCTTATGCAAAATTTAACAAAACCACTATAGAATGCCAGGTGGACCTCCTCCTTCAATGCTTCGACTAAGTAGAACCCCAAATTCCTCCCCCCCCCCCTCCACGTTCAGCTGCAGAAAAGAAATTTTTCAGCCCCAAAGTAAAACCTTACGAAAAATCGAAAAGGAATAAGGACCAAAGCTCTCAAATCCCAACCACGCACACAACATAGCAGAGTGGGTAAAGACAACGCTCTGCATACATACATATATGGCAGAAACCTGGAGAACAGAGGAAAGAGAAGAGTTTTGAGCATGAAGAAGAGAGAAAGAAGAAAGAAGGGGTGACGGCGTTCTGCACACACCCGCGCATGGCAGCGACTTGCAGAACAGAGGAAGAAGAAGAGGGTTCAGTATGCGGGTGTTACCAAAAGAGAATAATTATTAATCTTAGATAAATTAAGAATGATGGGGTACTATGCAGGAGGGCCTCAAGGGCCCTTCCGAATAAACCCAACAGCCTTATTTTGATGATGCTGAAATCTTAGCCGTCCTATGTGTGAAGATTACGCTGCAAATTATCAGACTCATTTTCAATTAAATTACTTCAGATAGACCCACTCCATGTTTGTATGGTTGCGACGAATCCTTTAAACACTTGTATGGCTATTATACATAGAGGTTAGGTTGTACTAAATTGGTATAATATATAAAGGTTAGGTTGGAATTTAGTTCTCAAAATTTTCGCTCAAAAAGTTATTTTAGGAGTAATGTCACCCGGAAGTATAAAAAATGCAGCAGTGTAAAAGGATTAATTTTGGCCATTAAATTTGACTTATGGGCCATGTGGCACTACCACATCATCAATCTATTTCGGCATAGTCCCTTCCTTTTTCCCCCCTTCTCTCCCCTCTCTCTCTTCTGATGAACCACCGCCCGATTGCCCCTCACTCTTGATTCATCGCACACGCCTACACCTTGCTTTCCTACTCAAGCTTCGTTGTCAATTTTTCTCACAACAGACCGGCATGAGAAACTTTTGACAGCGAACTCTTTTTCCTTTCATGTGGCATCATCATGTTGGCTTCATTTAAGAAGAAGCCAAGTGTGCTGTGGGGAGGTGGGAATTAGCAAAGGGGCGAGAGAGATTGACAGGGAAGCCCGAGGAGGGAAGCATGGCATGGGTGTGAGAAGAAGCGAGAGTGAGAGGCCACCAGCAGTTCATCAGATGAGAGGGTAAAAGCACAGGCTATGCAGAGATAGAGTGCTGATTTGGCAGTGCTATATAGGTAATTCAATGCAACAACTTAATGCCAACTCAAAAAATTAATGATATATGTAGTAATATATTACTGATATTTGGGTTCCCTTCATGTGACAAATTGATATAAGAGCATTGATGATTGTCTATCGTGTTGATTTGCTAACCCAATCTTTCAAATCAGAACTTTCAACAAACATTTCATCAGTTGACTTCTTCCTTGTAAACATCTCCATTAGCACAATATCACAGCTATACACATCTGCTTTGAAAGAAACCACTTCTTTTGATCCATACTCTAGATGTCAAAAAAGAACATAAGATTTGGTGTTAAACTTTCTTTCACATAGCTAATACAAATCTTCGCATATATAAATAGAATATATATATATATATATCAATGATTGAATAATATAAAAGTTTACATAGAATAAAAAAACAACATAATTGAACTAAAATATCATTATTAAATTGATAGTTTAGCTATACCAAAATCACTAAGATAAGCCACCATATCTTCATCCAACCAAACATTGCTTGATTTTATGCACAGTGACCAATCGGAGTAGAAATACCATGATGAAGATACTCCAATGCAATTACTATATCAACCATTATATTCTACCTTTGTAGGATATCCAAACAGTAGTTATAAGAATACAACCATCTATCAAGACTTCCATTTGACATGAATTATTTGGGCTATAGGGGTCGCAGCAGAAGGAAACAGAAGGTAAGCTAGCTCATCCTGATACACTTCCCAAGCCGTGTGCAATGTGCAAGTGAAGCTGGAATCTCTGTGGAGGAAAAAGTGGGAGGAAAATAGAGACTAGGTAAAACATCCAAAAATGGTAAAAAAAAAATTACTATTTTTAGGAATTTTTGTTCCTAGTGTTCTTTCCAAACATTGGGTAAGTTCGCAACCTAATCAAAAAATTTCCTTAGGAAGCTGCGTGAGCATCACACCCCGTTCAAATTAGGAAGGAATTGGGCTCCAAGGACGTTAGGTTGGTATTGCCTGAACCATCCTGCTATGCAAATGAAGTTTATTTTGTTGGCAAAATGAGGGGGCTTAGCAAAACAAGCTCAGAAAACACCATTCAAACGAAAGAGCCCATGACAGCTCCATCTATCGTCAATCCTTTTCAGCACTGTATAGATAGGGAAATAAGAATTGTTTCAATGTCAGTTTCCTTTGATTAACAAGGCTAAACAGAGAAACTTGTTTTGCTCCAGTTCAACATGACAACCATTAAACAGGATCCACATATAAAGCAGACCAAATGGATCAATTACGATATCTAAAGATCATAATAGCAATAAATGAATCCTGATGGTTCATGCAAAAAGTCTTCTGTTCATCTTTCCTCCATAAAAGGCTTTATTTAAGTGAAGCCCACAACCACAAATGGAAGAATCTTAACCATCAGAAACAGTCTAGGACAGCGACACTAACGCTGGCTCATGGCAGAGATAATTCTATCGCAGAAGCGTAAAAGCAGAGGAAAAATAGCTCAAGCACTCAATGATGCTCCACAATTCTTCCTGCATTCTGCTAACATGTCCATGTAGAATTGGTACTTGCTAGTGTCATTCCCGTAACTGTTCAGGCACTGCGAGAAAATAATCGCACATCTCTGATGTTAGCAAATATTAGAGAATCATTAACCAACAGCAGGAATAAAAACATTAACGAGTATCTATTGGCGATTTCCTTAAAGAAACCTTAAATTCAGATTTCTTCAAACATATTTCGCTCAAAACTGCATTCTGAAACCAACGGGATAACATAACAGTACAGGCCCGGTTTTTCAGCACATCATCAACTGAAACCTTGAGTAGTATACTTGATGCCATAATGAGCCAATCACAAAGAACTCATATGCATTAATGACTACCTATCGGTGATTTTCTTAAAGAAACTATGAATTAGAATTTCAAACATGTTCTGTTTCCAAAACTCAAGCTTGCCTCTCCAACCTGAAAAAATGATTCAAACATGTTCTGTTTCCAAAACTCAGGCTTGCCTCTCCAACCTGAAAAAATGATTCAAACATGTTTGGCTTAAAAATGGATTGCGAAACCAATGAAATAATCACACTTATCCCGTTATTCAGTAAAACAAAAAAAAAATATATGATATACTTGATCACGCTATACTGGTGCAAGCACATGAAATTCATGCAAAGCATGGAATGCACAATGATAAAACATGCATTTGAAACATATCTGACAACCCATAATAAGGAACTGTTGAAGAATAAGGACTTTCCACACACTTGAAACATATCTAACAACACATCATAAGAAACTGTTAAAGAATAAGGACCTTCCACACAGATCTTGCATGTCTTGTAGAATGTTAATCAAATAGTTATTATTTTCTGCTGCTTAAACTATTTCTACACTATTGTGCATATCAAAGCATATAACATTCCAAACATTAATTGATGGATGAATTTGTGAGACATCCATCTCATAAAGAGTTATTCAGTTGTCCAGGGTGTGATTTACGAGTCATAACCAGATGGCCAGAACAGGTAAGAAATGCATACACCTTGGAAGGCCTTTGTGTGAACACCACAGGCATCGCTACCAAGACTATTTGCAGTTGGTGCAGCGGCGGCAGTAGCACCCTCAGCGACAACTGTTTCATGTTGAATTGTTTGGGGACCCATCACGGCATCCACAGCCCTGTGAGCTACTGCACCACCAGTTCCAAAAGCCATGCCCACAACAATTTTTCCATCCATTAGGCACAAAGAAATTCGTTTTCACAGGTCCCATCCCATCCATTAAAATGAAATAATCATATTCACTAAGTACCCTAAGCAATGGTTGAATCAATGCCACCAAGCAGAGAGCCACCACTGCCACTCTGAACGGGAGCTGGGGGAGGAGCATGGTGAGCTGCATTAGGACATCACCAAGGTTAGACAAAAATTAAACTACTTCTTAAGTTTCTAGCTGAGTAATATTAATACCATGTCACAACAAAACTCTTTGGAAGGTACATTAGACCTTCATCATTATTTGGATTTAAGAACAGCTTAACTGTATTGTTAAAACAATTAAACTTTTCGGAACATACATTAGGAGCATGGTATACAGCTTATCTTTGTGAACTGAAACCGTCAAAAATTGACAGTTTAACCATTTATTGCATCATATTCTTATTTACCTGGCTGAGTTGGGGGGTTACGAGCCGCTGCTGGACGAGGTACTGAACGTGAAGATCTTCCTGCCAAGATAATCACATCACAAAGGATCCCACAGCTAAACTATTACCTCTCAGTGCAACATGCACAAATGATTGATTAGTTAGTTTATTGATTCAGAATTTTGTAACCAAGACAAAAAATAATAATAATAATAATAATAATAATAATAATAATAATAATAATTACAATATAATAGCAGCAAACGCTTGGATGACAGGGAAACTAGCTTACATTCCAAATGTTTCACTAAAAGAAATGTTCTACGAAAACATTGCCGTTTGCGACATCACAGATCGCAGAGTTGAAACCATAATAACCACAAATGACAAAGTCAGGATAAAAATCCGATTAGCATCAAAGTATCCTCAATAAAGAGGCCACCAACGCTTTTGCAACGCCCCACAAAAATCTTGCTTAAATGATCATCGACTTACGCAACAAGCACCACAAGCATCACTAGAAATGAGGGAGCATATGCATCAACGTATTAAAATTAATGGGTTAAAGAAAAACACATCCCTCTAAACAGTAAACGATTTCCCATTTTTCGGGAACGACGGAACTAACGTTTCAGCAAAAGCATAAACGTCTAGCGTCCATCAACAGCAACACCTTTCAAGCGCAAAACATAGAACCCTAGAACCCCAATTCCTTCGATAATGAAACAGGAAAATTAGAGGAAAAAAACCCTAGATATCATCGAAGAACTAATCCAATAGCTTCCCAATAGATTAATGTCCAGAAGATGAGCCCGAAATATAAATCGATTAAAGGTCAGCCAGTTACCACTGGAGCTGCCGCGAGGCATGGTTAGGGTATGGGGTTGAGGCGGCGGAAGAACAGATTGAGAGACGAAGATCTCTGAAGAGGAATCACGAAATATGCCGCTGCAAAAATATAAACGACCAAGCCCTTGAAACGGGAAATTCATAGCGAGCCCCACAATGAGATATATGAGCCGCGGATTAGCCCAAAAATAGAGCTCTAGAACAATTCAGATTGTGTTAACGTGGAAGTACATGATTGGTTGATTTTAGGTCTTGTTCAATTTTCCGTTGTATGTTTTGGGTGTGTTTACTACTTTTATTTTATTTAACTTTTGTAGTATAATACTATGATTTATGTTTATATTAATTTTTTTAATAAAAATCAGTTTGTTAAATTGAGACTTATTTGAATAAATAATAAGAAAATAAATTTACATATAAAATGACTGAAAAAGTTATGTATTGTATAACCTATATCTAATATATACGGTTTGATAAATTTAAAAACATAATAAATTAAAATAAAAATTATAAAAATAAAAAGAGTTAATACTTTATTAAAAAAAGAATAATACTTACATCAAGTTCGTTATATGCATTATATCAAATTTTCGCTCGCACATATCTGTGTTTTATTTTTAAAATATTTGCATTTAATAGTGTTAAATTATAAATTCACAGGGAACAAAATAAAACACATGACCAAATGTGACTGAAAAATTTGATATGATAGATATAAGCAGTTTGACCTAAATATTTTTTTTAAAAAAAAATGTATTAAAAAAATTATTACTAGCAAAAAAAAAATTATTAGATCAATGTAAAATCTGTTTGAATACCATTATCTTTCTTTTTGTTCTCATTTGTTTTTCCTCCTGAAAAGCTCATTAGAGAAAAAGTTAACCAAACACGTATAAACGTTAAAGCCACCGATCAATTGACTTTTCACATTGCCCAAGGCATGTTTGCTGGTTTTAACACCAATCGGAACACATGCTTTGTGATTAGCAAAAAAATTGAATGCTTGTGATTTTTTTTTTTTACTTTCATATCATAAAATAAAACGCAAATGGTTGGGTCTCCTGGCGCTAAACACCTTCAAAACTTTTCTAATGTAAATTGTGAGTTTCAACTTTTCACGAGGGGTATAAAAATGTCAGAATAAAGCAGAATAAATTTAACAAAACACAACAACAACATGATTACTCTTTTTGCTTCTTATTATGATAAGATCTCTTCTAAAAGAAAATTTTGATCCTTTTTATAAGACCATACAATAGTTTCAATTAGACTCCTCTTCATTCGTATTATCATTTCACATCCCCATGTTTAATTTAATTCATGTTAATGCTTTTTTCATTTCTCAACTTTCAAAAACAAATGAATCAAATACAATTTAAATAGCTAAATACAGTTGCAATGGAAAAAATATAAGAAAAAGGAAAATAATTCACGACATGAAAAAGGTAGAGACTTCGTATATCAATATAACAAACATATAAATCATTGCCATTTTAGCATATGACATGTTTTATAGACAAAATAAATCAAAGGATAAAGGAAACAGTAACTAAAACTTCAACACAAAGATTATTTAACTAGTGGCACGTCTCTAATATTTTACGTAAATATGACCTTATCTTTTTTAATGAGACTACAACATCAGTCATCATAATTCGTGCCTCAGGTAATTCAGTGCAACAACTTAATGCCAAGTAAAAAATTAATGATATATGTGGTAATATATTGCTGATATTTGGATTTCTTTGACGCAGCAAATTGACATCTAGAATATTGATGATTGAATGTGGTGTTGATTTCCTAACCCAATCTTTTAAACCAAGACCTTCAACAAACATTTCATTAGTTGGCTTCTTCTTGGTAAACATCTCCATTAGAACAATACCATAGCTATACACATCTCCTTTGAAAGAAACCACTCCATTTGATCCATACTCTATATTTCAAAAGAGAATATAAGGTTTAATGTTAAACTTTTTTGGTATATAGCTAATATAAATCTTCACATTTAGGAACGGAAAATATATATATCAATGATTGGATAATATAAAATTTTGCATAGAATAATAAAAAACAACATTATTGAACTAAAATATTATTACTTATTACTTGGTAGGGCTGCACATGGGCAGGGCTGGGCAGGGCAGGACCCTTGCCCGATACCCAACCCAAAAAATGAACGGGCTTGAAAATGCAGCCCATTGCTCGGCCCTGCCCATGAAGAGCCCTAGTAAGTTCGAGCTGGGCAAATGTGGGCTAGGCAGGGCGGGCTTCCATGCCCAGCAAATCAATATATTATATTACTTAACTAGTTATTTATGTTCCTCTAGATAATCTAATGTAACTTTATATTAAAATGGCAACTTGACCTTAATTTAGTTATTTCTAGTTAATATATTATGAAACAACATTTTATAGTAGCTAAGAGGAGTAAATTATGACAAACAAAAATGTTGTTAGTATACTTTATTAAACTTAATTGCTTTTCTAGTTTCTAAAATTTCTTAACCAAATGTAAATATTTTTTCCCATAACTCTCAAATACTCATAAGAGCATGGATCAATTATACAAATTGCTAATGGTCATAATGTTGGTATTAAAAAAGAAAATGGTTATACAAATTGCAGTAAATGATAACATGTTTACTCTCAAAATCATTTGAAAATAAATAAGTATAATGAATATTGAATATTGTTGCAACAATGTGTTTGACTCAGGAGATAAATATGAGACAAATAAAATATATATAAATAAAATTATATATTTTTGTGAGCAGGGCCAAATGGGCAGGGCAGCATACCTTGCCTGATGCCCAGCCCTGCCCAACAATTTGCCCAGCCTGAACATGCCCAATACATCTTTTGGGCCATTTTTTTTAAGACGGGCTGGGCATTTTCTTGCGGGCTTGGGCGGGCATAGCGAGCTACTGGGCTCCATGAACACTCCTATTACCTGGTGCCATATAGCCAACTGTAGCCAGTGTTTTTGTATGAGTTTCCAACGGTCCTTCACTTAATAGTTTAGCTATACCAAAATCACTCAAATGAGCCACCATGTCTTCATCCAACAAAACATTACTTGGTTTTATGTCACAATGAACAATTGGAGTTAAAGTACCACGATGAAGATACTCTAATGCAGCTACCACGTCAACCATTATATTCAACCTTTACAGGATATCTAAACAGTAGTTATGAGAGTACAACCATTTATCAAGGCTTCCATTTGACATGAATTCCATGATTAGAGACTTGAAATCATTGTTAAAGCAACTACTGATAATCTTAATAAGATTGCGATGTCGTAAATTGCACATGGCAGCACATTCAATATCAAAACTTCTCAATGCTTCTTCCATCTCTATGTTAAATACTTTGACAGCAACTATCTTTTCATTTGGCAAAATCGCTTTATATATTGATCCAAAATTTCCAAAGCAAAGAAGATTACTCTCATCAAATCCATTTGTTCCTTGTGGAAGTTCATAATAGGATATCCTAGTTGGTGCATCCAAATTTGTTAAGTCCCTATTGATTGTATAATTAGCATCATCTCTGTTATGCTTTAGAAAGACAATGCCTATAAAAACCAAAATGACAACCATGATAGGCACTGAACATTTTATCACCAGTATCACTTTATTTGATATGTGCTTGTTTCCTCTCCTACACGGTCGGACTTGTAGATGGGATTTTCCACAAAAATCTTTATTCATCATAAAAGATTGAGTAGTAAAATTTTGAAAAGAGCCACCATTTGGAATTTCTCCATCAATAAATTGTATGAAAGATCAATAGATTTAAGATAGAGTAGTGACTCTAAGGACTTTGGAATTGCACCAGACAAATAATTATGAGAAAGATCTATTGACTCAATACTTATCATGCCACTTAGTGATTCAGGTATAGGATCTTGTAATTTGTTGTGAGCCAAAGATAGCTTTTGCAAAGTTGTCAATGTGGCCTTAGTTGTAGGTATACTTCCTGAAGTTTGGTTTCTTGACAAATTCAACAGTATAGTTGCTCTCAAATTTGATACTTTTGGTGAAATTACTCCACTCAATGCATTGGAAGATATATCTAAAACCAAGATATCTTTGAAACTCCAAAGAGAAGAAGGTAAATGAGAAACCAGCTGGTTAAAGCTAAGATCTAATTGTTGCAAAGACGTCTTCCCAAGACATTCTGGAACTGCTCCTGTAAACATGTTGTTTGCAAGATTCAACTCAGTCAGACTTTCGAGTTGACAAAGGTCATTTATAATGGACACTTGCAATCTATTGTTGCTGAGACTTAAATGTTGAAGACTATGTAATTGATTAATTGTATTTGGAATCAACCCACTCAAATTATTCCCATCCAAAGCTAAATTGATCAAATATTTTAAATTTCCAATTAGATGGGGTATAGCTCCGTTAAACTTATTTGATGACAAATCTAACGTAATGAGTTTAAAAGCATTTGATATGCTATTTGGAATTTGTCCAATTAGATCATTTGCCTGCAGCCATAAAATTTCTAGGTTGGGAAGGTCAATTCCTAAATATGATGGGAGAAGGCCGGAGAGGGAATTACCAGCAAGGCGTAAGATTCTCAATGTCGAAATGTTGAATATATTTGAAGGAATAGGTCCTTGCAAATGATTATTGGCTAAGCCTAAGACACTCAGTTTATCAAGTTTGCCTATCCCTTTGGGTATAAAACCTGCACACAAAAATTGATAGAGATCATGACTTGTGTATAGTTCAGATAAGGATACATACAAATAAGTTTAGTTTTATTCCTTTTTAAGCCTTTATAACATTTTTGAAGTAAAAATTATGGAAATCATATAAACTATCCTTAGTTAAGATGCCATAGTTTACAAAAGAATTGTTTGAAAGTTAAAGTTTAATTTTAAGTTGTAATTTCTGAATAACTATTTAATAGAAAATTAATAAATTTCTGATATAGTAAAGAAACAATTGAAAATTCTGAGGAAAGAAAATTAAACATGGAAATAATGTATTCTTTAAACTAAGAAAACCATAAACTCCCATCAATTCATGATTTGATCTTTTGGTACTCCTCCGGTCCTTAATATGAGATCCAATTATTAAGTTCGTTTTGGTCCTAAATATAAGACCCATTTCTCATATTTATCAATTTTCTCTAATTACCCTTATGAATACTTCCTCAGCCATAATCAAGTAGAAGAGGGAGAGGGGGTATTAAGAAAGATGATTATGGTGTTTTAGGAAAAACGTGTCACATTTCTTATAATTAACTAACTTACGTAACTTTCTTAATTTAATCAAATTAGTTAAATAGGTCTTATATTAAGGATTGGAGGAGTACTTTGGAATACTAGCCATATTCAAGCCCCAACTAAGAATATGGGCAATATTAATGAAACGATGAAAAAGAAAAATCTCATTTCAAATTTATGACAAGAAAAATAAAACAGGTAACGTTACTTGCATATAATGCACATGATATATGTGTGTGTGTGTGTGTGTTATAACAAATAAAACTACGTGTCCTACAAATATTAGAAATTATAAATGTGCCGAGAAATTATTTTTATTTGTTTAGGTCTTCGTAAAAATTTGGAAATGAAAAAAATTAAGAAAATCATAAATTAAACTTAAGATGAAATGACTAGTATTTCTAAAAAAGTACTGGCATATAATAAGTCCGTATGTTGCATTTAAATTTGGTTGAACAAGCATTTTATGAGTTGCAGCTATTGCATAATTTGTAATTGTAATTGATCTTTTATACATATCTAACTAATTTGTGTTTATTGTACTTTTTTAATTATCACGTTGTAATTTTTTAAAATATCATAATTTTGATTTCAATTAAAAAATGTTGAATTGTTGCAATTTATATATACATAATAAATAAGTAAAAACAACTCGAAACTCATCTGTATTTTAATATTATTTAAATATTAAGATGAGAAAAAATAAAATTAAAGTAATTAAGAGGCAGAAAAAATCTTGATAAAAAAGTATTGTATGGTTCGGAGTTTTGTCATCAAAGAGTATATGTGAGGATTTTGTTTTTCTTTGTTACAAATTTCAAGACATCCATTTGTTCATGATTGCGATTTTCGAGAAAAACAAAATCTCATTTTACATAAACATATTAAAAAGAAAAAAAAATAGTCAAGTAAGTGCGTACCTGTAAATGAGTTAATATCCAAATATAATTCTTTCAAAGATGTGCAGTTGCTTATTGATTGAGGAATGCTTCCCTCTAATTGATTACTATCAACATCAAAGACTTTAAGTAAAGGGAGATAATGACACATTTCTTCAAACAAATTACCCTTTAAATGATTGGCGCCAAGACCAGTCATTCTCAAAGAAGGCATGTTCCAAAGAAATAAAAGAATTTCACCTATAAATAAATACAAAATATTTGTTAATTACTTCATAGTATGGCAAGCATGTTCCTAATAAATTTGTCTGTACACAAGCATATAAATAATATGAGGAATTTTGGTAATTAGATACTTAAAATTAGTAGAAAATAATTTCTTTTTTGTTGGACCGTAGTTTAAAGGGACTATTCCAATATTAATGATCAATTAGATGTTAAATTTCTTTCAAAGAAGAATTGCTGAAGAGCAGAGACTATGGAATTAATCTCACCGAATCTAAAATGAACATCCAAATTATTTATATTCTGTATTAGAGTTATTGAAGTACTTAAAAAGGCTCTAACTTTGAGGTATGAGGATGAATTCATCATAGGCAAAAAAAGAGCTGAAATTTGAGTTTTTTTCTTTACTTTTAGTTACAAACTTTGGAGATAAAGCATAAAATTAAAGATAGAATTTCACCTGTTTTATTATAAAAGTGGATAAGATACGAGTTATGTAAATATTGATGAGAGAATTAGAAATATTATGAAATCTTTTCAAGTACAAGTCCTATTATCAAATAGAAACAAGCATTATATTGATAGCCAACACATATTTATTCTACTGATCCAAAATTAAATTTTATTTCTCTTTTTAAAGACATTTTTGCTGGGGTAAAAAATTAATTACTATACCACATCACATACTGATAGTCCACAAATTTTTTCAGACCAGTTTTTATAGGGCTTTTCTAATTTTTTTAATGATCTAAAATTATATTTTATTTCTCTTTTCAAGGATTTCTATTATGAATGCAAAATCTTTAGTAAACTTCTCATGATTCTTTAACATGAATGAAAGAAATGAAAAGCAAAATCTCATTTTAAAATTATTTTTCATTCAAGAAATGAAAACAAAAACATACACACACACACGATCTAAGACAATCCTATAACTAAAACTATTACCTTGCAAATTGTTGTAGGTAAGATAAAGAATTTCGAGGTTTGTCAAATTTCCAATCTCACTTGGAATGATTCCTAGATAAAGTATATATGAAACCATTTTATTGATCAAAGTATACAAATGATGTGGTAGATTAAGATTAAAATTTTTTTTAAAAAAATGTTTTTCACATTTTAAATATAGCAAGTGGTCCCATCAGTCCATGATCTTACTTTTTCTTTATTTTGGCATTGTAATATTATTTGCATATAATATACACAAATAATGAAGAAACTTCACGTGTCTTACGTACTAATTTCTAAAACTTGAACATGTGTGCTATACTGATTAATCCATGCGTAAATATTAAAAAGGGAAAAGGCAAATTTCCTCTAACCATCAAATTTCTTACCTTTTAATATTGCAAATGAGTACATTAAGTTTATTATATAACTTTTATGCATTGCTAATTAATCATGTACGGCATAAAGCATTAGACTACTCTTTCAGCAATTTATCTCTGATGAAGGAATTTGTTTTGTGCAGTTTCAATGAGAAATTATTAAGTATACTTTGCTGAACAAAAAATTTCCACAATAATGTTTAATGAATCGACATTTTTTTATGTAATCTCCCATGCTTTCTCCCTTATGTTGATTTTTCATACTTCTTTTAATTTTAAAATAAAATAATGATTAAGAAGTTATTAGTGGAGAGTTTTATGTTGAAGATAATGATTATAAATTGAACGTACTGAATAATTCCACTTTATAATTATTCACAATTGATATTTTATAATTATTTTATTTAAATAAATTTCTTGTTTATTGTAATAAATAAGGAAAAACGCACCTGCAAACTTTTCTGTTTTTAGTATTAAACTTATCCCATCCTACAAATAAGTTGAGAACTTGCCTTAAATAACAAAAGAATTTCAAGCAATAGATCATTTCAATTCGGAAGAGTAAAATACAAAAGAAAAATTATTCTTTACATTAATTTCAACTGTTTTAAAAAATTTTAAAATAAAAAATTATCAAAATCATAAATTATACTTGAGATGACATGATTAGTATATTGAATAATTATTTAATTTTTTGCTGGTAAGAATCATTTAATTTGAAATTAATACATTTGAACAATAAAAAAATTACATGTGGGCAAGTGTGCACATCATACGTTGAGTACTCAAGAAATTTTGTTTTTGAAGTGGGCCCATCAGCTCAGTTGCTGAAGTCATGATCCTATCTTTCCGTTATTTTGGGATTGTATAGAGAGAAAATGGCAAATAACGACTCCTAATATGTAAAATTATAATTTGAGATCCTTAATTTAAAAAATGACAAATAAAGACCAGTTTCATGCTACAAATTTAAAATCTTGGTGAAATGTCTGAAATGCCTCTCAGTCAAATGACAAGTTGACTATGGGAAATGATAAATTCACTTTAGCGAATGATAACTTTAGTAAATCAAATCACAACTTTGCTAAGGGTATGCCAAATGACAAGTTGACTATAGGAAATAACAAATTCACTTTAGTTTTATTTTTGGGGAAGATACAATATTTTTAGTTGTGAAATATCACCAATCTCTTTTGGAATGTCTCTTTGAAATCTTAGTGGGGAAAAAGAAAGTAATGTTAATAGGAGCTTTTTTTTTTTTTTGCGTTTGACAAGTTATTATGTACATGAGACAATTTATATATTCTTTTAAAAAATACAGTAAGACTTGCACATTTTTTAAAAATAACAAAAATATATTCCAAATGATTAAACACAACTACAGTAGTATTTTTAAAAAGGTATAACCTTTTTTATTCATCTGAGCCAATATCCATTTGATGGACTTATGTTGATTAAAATCAAGAAATATATTGAAATCCAATCGTTCCTTCCTTTTCATCATCCCTATTAAAAGGTAAAACACATATTTTTTGGGACACTCCCAGAAAAATTTATTTTTGTTACTTAAAAACTTTTTAAAACAATGAAAATATTAATAAATAATAAAATTAAAATATAATTTAGAATATCCCGTTCAAAATTAAATGTTCCAAATATTTTGTTCTAAGGGTTACTCAACTTGAAAAAACCATTTAAAAATTTTTAATGATAGAATAATAAACACATATTTTCAAAAACTCATGAAGAGCCTATTGGATATATGTTATTACACTAGTATATTTATTTTTCCCATGTTGTGACTCTAAAAACCGTTTCATGATTCTGATGATGAATGTTTTTTCCCCTTTGAAAAAGAATAGAAAATGTTGGCCAAAATTTAAAAAATTCATAAAAATAACCAAAAAATTAAAAATAATAAAGAGAAGCCCAGATTCCTCTAGGATAAGATTATGCTGGCCAAATATGGTAGTTTAGAACAAAATCAAATATAAATATTAAAAATAATAAAAAAATAGCTGACAAACTATTACAAGACAAACTCAATAACTTCAGTGAAGATAAGTTTGAAACTGTCTTGGGAATGTTTCCTGAAAGTTTGTTAGCTGCAAGAAGTAAACTCTTCAACCGTTGAAGTCTTCCCACCTCAAGTGGAATGGTCCCTTCAATGGAATTATAAACCAAATTCAAAGTCTCCAACCTTGATAGATTGAATAGAGATAGTGGAATAAATCCATTAAGACTGTTATTTCTAAGATTTAGCTGCTCAAGCAAAGATAAATCTCTCATTCATGTTAGAACTAGCCCATGAAAGTCATTGTAGCTCAAGTTGAGTAGTTTCAATCTACACAATCGAACTAACTCTTCTGGTATTTGACCATAAAAATTGTTGTCACTTAGATCAAGTTCAACAAGGAATGAGAGATTTCCTAGTTGTGGAGGTACGTTGCCCTTAAGATCCATGCCATGGAGATTCAAGGAGTGGACTCTTCCATGACGAGTATTGCATGTGATCCCAACCCAGCTGCATGGAGAAGAAGAGACAGACCAATTAGCTAAGAAATTATGTGCATATGAAGTGATAAATAATTTAAAGGCAAGAAGTGCAGATTTGTCAGTAGTGATACTTGTATCACTCCAAACTAAGGAGGCCATGAAGGAATGAAGTAAGAAGAGGAAAACAAAGGAAGAAGGTCTTCCCATTATGCGTAGCATATCAGATTTATCAAAATCTCAAGTATTGTGCATCTAGGAATTAGCATACATGTCGTTTTATACTACTTTGATTCCAAATCAAACAAAATGCGTAGTTGCAAAATGACATCTTTTGTGGGAAGGTTAGAAGAAATTCAACTAAAAAATTATTTTGCTTTTGGTCACGTGTGGCAGGGTATGAAATAAGGAGAAGCTTTGCCCTTTAATTTCATTGCCTGTTGAACAATATCACTTCTGGGACCACACTTTTATTATTGAAAAGAAGCTTGCGTGCGTGGATAAATTGTTCCTTCAATATTTTTACATTTTCTTTTCCATTGTTTTTAATTTTTGGCTGAGACAGTTATTTCTCTCTTCAAATTAACCACCATGCATGAAATCTAAATTGATGAAAGAAATTTGTGTTTTGTATTATTCCTCTTTCTCATTACACGTGGTTAATTCAATTAATCAATTTATGTATATTTTCATAAGCTTGCAGGCTGCAGCTAATTATTCAAGGCCACTACTGTATATTTTAATCCATATGAATATTGAAATTATACAGAAGATTTTCCAGTAAAGCAAATAATAAAAATGTCAGTAAAAAATTATTAATTACTGATGTGTGTATATATTTATATTAGTGATTGATTTTTCAAACGTTAACTTATCCAAAAAAAAGGTTGATGCAACGAAAAAGAAAGAAAATGATGTTAGTGATGAGAATAAATTTTAACCTACAAATAGTCTAGTCAAGTGTGGTAGGCTATGAAATAACCCAAAATGCATGTTAATGAGAACTTTCGAGGTAGTCCCTTAATTAATTTTATTACGTGTTAAACAATTTCATGTCTAGGACCATACTTTCATTATTGAAAAGAACCTTGCGTGGATATATTGTTCCTTCAATAGTATTGTTGCTTTTTTTTAAAAAATTTTTTTTGGGTAAGACAATTATTCCTTTCTTGGAACCACCATATATGAAATCTAAATTTGAGAGTAAAGAAAATAGTAAAATGTTAATATAAAAAATATTACTGGTGTGTGTATATTAATGGTTAACCATGCAAACATTAAGTTGTCCTTAAAAAAAATTTGATGCAATGAAAGACAAAGAAAATTACATTAGTGATGAGGAAAAATTTTAAACAAACAAATAGTCCGTTATCATATTATGGACTATATTTTTATTACCACTATCCTGTATAGATTACAGAGTAACCCAAAATATATGGTTATGATGAGAATGATTCTTTGTCACTTTATAAAGTGTAATTGGACCATATTTTCATTTTCATTGATTTAGTCTAATATGGCAGAGTACCCAAAAGAACGTTGCTAAGAGGAAACATACACTGAGCTCAAAGGTCTTTTGCAAATGCATGCATGGCATTTTTAACTTGAGATTAGACCTCGAAGTCATTACACTCCATTTCATATAGGAAACTGCTAAATATGTCCCCTTATGTGCATATTTTATTTTGATAATATCATCTTGGTCCAAAGAAAAATGATAATTAAAAATACACATAAATAATATCGCTCTGTATAATATTTTGATGATGCATATAGATAAGTCTAGTTAAAAATTAACGGAGAACTGCATATGCAATAAATTTATTTGTCATCAAACAAAGAGCTAGATATCAGACCCACCCCCATTAAATAGATCTAGAATCAGGAATCACAATTCAGTAATTTTGTCTCTTTGAAGAGGTATGATTTTCAAAATGGATATATAAATAATAGCGTTACTTTTTGGAGATTAGTCAAACTAAAACATTGACAAAACACTAAATCGGAATATATTTCGATTAACAGCCAAACAAAGAGTTGAGCCTAAATTATACTTGGTCCTGGTAGACAACGAGAATATACTTTATTTTATATAATTAAATTATATAAAATTAATAATCTTAGAAAAACACCCTTAAGTAAACATTTAATTATAAATTAATCAAGAATAAATAAGATATCATTGGTCAAATTCTTTCAACATTTATATGACGTGTTTCTCATTCCAGGGTTTTGTTTTAAATATAGCACTTTTATGTTTCTTCCTCAATTGATGCCCAAGTTAGTTGTTTAAGGTTTCAATGACTAAGGACCGATATGATATTGTACATATTTCACAATAAATGTCACAATTTCTTTTTTTACATATTTTGTAATTCGCGTAATTTTCATAATTCAAGAAGATATTAAATTATTTTTTTATTTTGTTCCTTATTAATATACTTATTGGCAGTCAAACAATATTTATTTAAAAAGCATTAGGCACATATGGCATGGTAGACTTTTCGAACATTAAAGCAGTCCCAAAAACAGTTGATGCAACGAAGGGGCTGAGAAAAGTATGTTAGTGATAAGTGAAAGCTTTGATCCTACAAGTATTGTATGAGTCACAAAGTAACCCCGTAAAATAGGTTAGTGATAAGAAGGACGTAACCTTTGTCTCTTTAGAATGTATAATTCCGCTTCTTGGCCCACATTTTCATTTTCATTGCATTTTTTCATTTATGGTCAGTCTTGTAGGCCATATATAAAGAATACCTTCAAAATAAGGTTACTACTGGAAAGAAGCATGTCTATGTGGACATATTGTCCCTACTTTTCACAAACATACACACATATACGTCACAATAATTGGAGGTATTATATATTAACCACCCAATGTTTATAGACATGGAGTGCTTGACCTGTAAGACGATCTCAAAGTCACACTCCATTTCATAAGAAACAGCTTTTATATATATAATTTTGATAAAATCGTTTTAGTTCAGGTTGGTTTACTTTACACGAATATAGCTCCTAGCTTATAGAATTATGAGGGTTGAATTTCATTGTTGATAATCATTAAATATATTTTTGAATTTTTTTTAACTGAGAGATATATTCTCGTCGCAGTGAGCCACACCTCAACCAAGCTTTTTTTAATGCATTTTATGGGGAGAATGTGATCAAGTTTATAAAGAACTTTTTTTATGATAATTATAATAGAAACGAACAATGTTTTATTTTTCATTGAAGCAGCATGCTTTACTCATTTTTGATACCGTTTGTATTTGGAGAACAAACAAATGTATATAAATATTAATATATAAAATAATTTTTGTGTTATATTTTATTGTTAAACATCTTCTTTTCTTTTTACTTTTTTGAAAAACTGGCCTAGCCTTATTAGGAGGGGTCTGAAAATATTGTGCATGTCAAAAGGGGGTCCTATGACAAGATATTTCTATCATTAAAAAAGATAAAGCACAAGATATTTTCTGCAAATTCGTCGCTTAAAAATTTCAACATTTTAATTGGAATTTCCATTTATATTATTGAACCGTTAATTTAATATCGATATCATAGCTGAATATTCGTTAGAATAACATTGTGAAAGATGGGGTTAAAATTGATCCGTAGATGTTACATACTTATCTAAAATACTATGATTTTCTCCCCGTGTGCTGCACGGATGGTTGCTATGCATGTAATTTTGTTTTTGCGTGTTATGTATTAGTATGCTTGTTTAAGCTACAAGTTATATAAGAGGTGAGGATGGTTATCTGATTGCCTGAAGTGCATAAATGTAAGTTAATCGTAGAGTCATAGAGTTCTAGATGTAGCATAATTATGGTAGCTGTCATATTGATAATATGAAGTTGAAAGGCTGTTCGCGAAATGGATGATTGTTAAGTATGCATTATTACATTATTATATTTGTTGGTGGAAGACCTCCCAAGAAACCACACCACGAGTAACATTGGTAGAAGACCTCCTGATAGAATCTTTCACACATGCAACTATTCTTTATGGAGGCTGTTTGTTAAGTATGCATTATTACATTATTATATTTGATTAATTCAAGACTGACAGAGGAGATGAACTGTGAAGTACTGTCGGAGGAAGTCCTCATAGTAATAGTGCGAAAACTGTAGTCGGCCCATGACGTTGAGAATGAGGTCACTCCGAATGCACATTTTGGAAGACTTCCCTGTAGACAACATTTTGAGTAACATTCGTGGGTTTACTGTCGAAATCGAGGATCAATATTTTGAGACCGTCCATATTCTTGACCCTTGACAATGCGACATACGGCTGTCCATGTGTGAACACGGGCCTGGACAGGTACAAAACCGGTTTGTTAATGGCCCTGGCTCTTGTTGATGGTCATCGTAAAAGAGATTATGAACGGGAATTGTCATCTGGTCATTTTGAACAGGAGGGTGGTCTTTGACGGATTCATGTCCATGCGGTGGATGAGGACCTGATCACCTGCACTCATTCCGTTTAATGCGACCGCCCTGATGAAGTTCTTGCCCAAATATGTGATCCGCAGCCTTGTTCCATTGCACAGGCCTACAGACTGGTTGATATTTCACAACAGCATGACTGGTATTCCAACCTTCAAAGAGAGCTTGTGGGGTGGCATCTCGGAGCAGTTTGTGGTGTTGAGGAATTTTGTGGAGTACAAATCTTGAAATGAGCTGCTATCCTGATCGGTGCTGGAGACAGAGTCGGAGCTGAGATACTAAATAGAGTCTCTAGGGAGGAGTGACAGCATGTAATCGTTTATCTGGTCGATGACATCGGTCGTGGGGGCTAAAATCGCCCTTTCTGTGAGGTAGTTTGGATACGTGATGTTCTGGTGGAGTGCAAGATATGTGGATGAGACTATAGAGTGGATAGGGTTGAGGGAGTCGGTGATGAGGAAATCGACCAGGATCTCAATGTCTGTCGTGCCCTCATGGGGTAGTCCAATTATACCGTCACCAATGTCAAGCAGCCATTTGGAAAATTTACTGATCTTTTTTTGGTCTATTGCCTTTGATGCCGTCTGCAGGGGTATGTTTTTAGTGAGCTGGAATAGCTTGCACGCCGACCAAAGAACGGATGAGTTTATAGCGGCATCTATAATGTCTGCACAGAATCCCTTCGGTATGACAGGCAATATCTGCCTAAAATCGCCCCCTATGACGACACACTTTCCACTGAATGGGAGGTCGCACCTCATTATATCCTTTAATGTTCGATCGACAGCCTCCACACAGTGCCATTTTATCATTGGTGCCTCATCGTAGATGATTAATTTTGCAGACCGCAGTAAGTGAGACACAGGGGAACCGTGGCTAATGTTACATGTGGAGTCTTCATTTATGTCAATGGGGATTGCGAATCTTGAATGAGCAGTCCTTCCTGATGGTAGTAGAGTTACTGCTATTCCACTCGATGCGACGTTGATGACCACATCTCCATTTGCTCGTTCGACTGCGGTTAGGGCGTTCCAAAGAAAGGTCTTGCCAGTGCCCCCGTAACCGTAGACGAAGTAGAACCCACCTGTTGTCCCGCTGACCACATTAAGGACTTCGTGGAATATCTTTGTTTGCTCATCTGTTAGTGAGGCTACCAACCTTGCGGTGTCCGCGGCACAAGCATCTTTGTCATAGCTAAGTTCTAGGAGTAGCAAGTTGTTTATTGTGTCCAAGAATTCAGTGGAGCTTGGTTTTGGCAGTGATGGGTAGTCATCTAGTGACCTGCCGTTCTTGAGGAGCAGCCTCTGAATCTCAATCAGTCTAGCGTCCTCCCTATCCGAGTCGGTTATTGATATTTCTGCAGGTCAAAAAAAGTAAGAGATGTCATGGCCCAGTACATGTAACATCAACGGATGTCGCTAATAGGGGTGATGACGTGGTGTCGGTGCAGGGTGTGCATTGTATGTCCAGAATGTTGTGTGAGTGAAACATACTTTAGGTGATGTTTGTTCTACCTTGATGCCATGGGTCGTGCCGTGGTATGTATAGAAGGTCTTCACATATGAGATGCTTTGTTTGCTCCCAGACTAAAATGGGGTTAGACAAACAATGGCATAAGAGCATGTTGACGAAGAATCTCCTAAGGTATTGACTTGTAGCCCAAAAGGCCGCCTCTTTTACCGCGTCGGTGTACTCTTGATCATCTTGAAGCAACCCCAGTGCGTAGCACGTCGCCCTAAATGTTGGTTGGATGACATTGTCTACTGTCCTGATGTCTCTATAGCTGAGGGGCCCTCTCATCTTAGTCAGTAGGACTCGGAGGTAGTAAGCCTCACCTTGTGATGGTGATACATGAGCTAATCTGCCAACGGAGAATCCTCTCTAGCACATCCTCCATTCCCTTTTTTGCTTTTTGAAAGTGTAATACCGTGGGAACTTGGTGTATGTTAAGGTCCTTGCGAATGAGTCGTCTTTATTCTTGGTGAGCCATCCAAGGAACATTGACTCCTTCACCCAGGGCCTTTCAACCAGTGAAGGCATTTCGTCATTGGCCGTGTGAAAAATAGCTTGTTGAACTGGGAGATGGAAGCTCAGCCTCTCGACAGAGGGGTACCTATGGTGAATGTCAAATGAGAATATTCGCCATGCGCCTTCGCAGGCTAAGATGTATCTGCAATTAAGGTAATGTGAGATCTCATCAAAATCGCGTTGTGAGTTGCCAGGCTCATCGTTGTGGTAGATCCCTGCGATGACGTGGTCATGGCCCTTGCTGATGTATTTGAACAAATACTTGATAGCCCTTGATTGGTTTCTTTTCTCCACATTCAAGTGGCCCTAGAAGAGCCGTAATAGTTGAGCGTTGTACGGCATGACATATCTGTTGTCCAATTGAATCCCTTTTTTCATAGTCGTTCTGCCATTGTTCCTCCTGCGATATGTGGGGTACCCCTCATCGTCTATTGTTGTGTGAGCTGCATATCTTCTAGGGTAGTACTTTGAGCACTTTCCATCTTTCATGTAAGGTGATTTCTGATTAGAGCTACCACAGGGTCCATGGATGATGAAATTGGTGACAAGATCGCACAGTGTGGGGTCTGCGTCTTTGTCTGGTATCTCTGCTGAGATGATTTTGTCAATGTCCTCAGTTGTCCTGGGTTTGTCACATGGCTCTATGAACAATATGATGTGTGCATGTGGCAGCCCCCGCTTCTGGAACTCTATCGTATATATCTCTAAAATTCCGCATATCAATATACAACAGTGGTGTATTTTGAAGTTATAGAAGTAAATGTGATAATTTAACTATAGTTTCTGTATTTGTTAGAGGGTGGGATATTGTGTTAGATGGTCTTTGGAAATGAAGCATGTAAGTCCCCCGTACTTTGTGGAGAGGTGATTAAAGGGAGGTTGTATTGTTACCTGCTTTGATTGTGCCGAATATTTTTTTCTCCTTAATGCATTTCATCAGTGCTGCAAGTTTGAGGCTGAACATCCTTCTCAAAATGTCGAGTCGATCAGATGGGCTGAGGTTGTGTTTTTGGCAGAATCTTGTTATCTCAGGCCATGCAGGATTGCAAGTGAACTTAGGAAGATATCGGGGTATCCTGCCCATCTGCATATGGCCATTGCATCTTGGTAGTTGTGGATCATGTATCTAGCACCTCCAGTGAAAGAAGAAGGTAGGATTATTCTCTTTCCTATGTTGGACGGATCTGTTTCGACCCTTGTTATTGCGTCAACGAGTCCTTTGTATAGGTCAACCTTGAGCTCTCTCTAGTGTCTCCTTATATAGTCAAGCCTCTCACTCTTGACCATTGCAAAGCCGTCTACAATGAATTACTGTAATAACCTCGTTGAGTGTAGTAACACGGAGTCCTCTATATTTCTGTCCATCAGTCTGAAAGCTAGGTACTCTCGTATTGTGAGGTACCTTTTCTTCTTTGTGCTGATAAGAGATGTGTTGTTATGTTCTGTCTTTGGTACGAATCCGTTATTACCGTAATGGAAGATGAGGGGATATTGAAGAGGCAAGTAAGACTTGTGTAGTTCATGGACGCGCTTCAAGGAGCCTACTTTCTTTTCTATGATTATATCTCTATTGACATATGATTCATCAAAATCTCTGACTATCAACGCTGCCACCTCCGACACCATAAGAAGCTCATAATTTCTGCTCCTATCGTTTGATTCTCTGAGGAGCCGTATCCTAACTTTGGTAGTGTTGTCTTTGCAAAGGATCTTCGATGCCATACGGTATTTCTTGACCAGGGCGTTATGCTGATCGAGGCAATCTTTAATGTTGACAGTGATGGCTTCATCAACTCCCGATTTGTCTGGATGGTGGCTGCAATCCAAAGCCAAGGGGTTTATTTTGAGCTGTGTTGTAGAGGGAACATGGTGATGGAGGATGTAAGTAGCATGAGGGGGACGCACCTGATCGCTGCCATCTGGTTCCTTATTTCATTGTCCGTGTCGTAAATGTACAGCTATGAGTACACAGGGGGGCATCCTTCAGGTGGCAATAAGCTTCCCAAGAGATGATAGTTTTGTCCGGACATAGTGAAGGAGTAGGGGCCGCCTCCACGGGAGTTGAGGGAATGGTCAATCTTTCCTCCCATAGAAGTGAAGTAGAACATATTATTGTATGCTCTTATGTTTGCCAAGAAGTTTTTAGATTTTGGATGTCCTTTCTAGAAGAAAAGGTGCCAGAATTGTTCTGGTGGCTTTTGGAGGTAAGGCATAACAACCTTGCTGTGACAGCAGCAAATCAAGAAAAGTGAGTATTCAGAAGAAGAGCAACGCTTGAGGCACTTACCTAGCCAAAGTAAGGCCCGACAAAATTGAAACTCGTAGATGGGGTCGCCATCGTCTAAGTAGCCTGTAGCCGACACATGAGGCTGGGTGCATTCAGTGGCACTGGTCGTTTGTATGTCGTGATGGGCAACTTCTATACTGGTGCCTGTGTGTAAGGTGGGGTTTCATCCAATTATTTCTCTTGGTTGCATTATGACCACACACTACCTATTGACTGGGGGGCAATACACTACATTTTGTTTATGTTAATTTCCACAGCAATGTGTTTATGACTATTCTACTTGATTATATTGGACAAATTTAAAAATAAGTGCGGTAATTATAATAAAAAAAATGTGTACGGCAAAAATTAATTTCAGAAAAGAAGTAGGAATAAAAATATGGCAATCTGAATTTAATATATTGATTAATAATGGGACCCCTTTTTTTTTCCCTGAGAGTTTATATGTATATTATATAAAATTAATTATGCTATAAAATTGAGGGGTGAAACACTTCTGTCCTCTGCATTTCTAGTATCACTATGAAAATAAAGTTGCTATATTTCTACGGAACTAACTTTATCTTAGGCACTATATGAATTAATGACATGAGACATTTATTGGAGAAGAAGGAAATACCTGTTATGATATGCTGATCGAGGATGGGATTAACGGTAGCATCTTTGTTGGTTGTGCCCTGAAACCGGCTTTTCTTTGATTTGTGCAAGATTGACTCCTATATATAATGACTTGTATGATCTATCATTGAATTATTTCAGTCATTAGCACATGATATGAATACGCGTATTACTAAAGCGTATTGTATCTTTTGTTTCAATTGCAAATTTTCATCAGTACCAAAGCGTCATAGACGCCCACATTGATGCTATATCCGTTACTTTTTAACATTTCTATGCAATGCCCACAAAGAGAAGTCAACCAACGTCTACTATACAGCAAAATGTAGAACTGAACCCATTATTCTAGAATCTTCAGTCTATTTAATCATTCAAGTGTTTTAATATTGCCTTCACCCTATAATCTAGATATTTCCAGCTTTTAAAGTACCATCTTTTTTAGCATGTGGAGTCTTAGTTCTTATTTGACAAATATAATGTGCACCAAACAGTTCAATCTTGTGCAATAATCATCCAGAAAAAACGCAGTTATAACAGCAACAACAATCATGTACTTGGGATAATGTTTCCTTAAAATAACACCTATGCATAACTTCATTGTTATCTCATTTAAGCATTTGACTCCTTTCTCATATGAGAAACCAGTTAATGCCATATTCTAGAAAATTTTCCAGATTTTATGTTACACATTTGGTTGATTAGAACCATTATGTGCACCAAACAATTCAATCTTGTGCAATAATCATCCAGAAAAATCGCAGTTATAACAGCAACAACAATCATGTACTTGGGATAATGTTTCCTTAATATAACACCTATGCATAACTTCATTGTTATCTCATTTAAGCATTTGACTCCTTTCTCATATGAGAAACCAGTTAATGCCATATTCTAGAAAATTTTCCAGATTTTATGTTACACATTTGGTTGATTAGAACCATTATGTGCACCAAACAATTCAATCTTGTGCAATAATCATCCAGAAAAATCGCAGTTATAACAGCAACAACAATCATGTACTTGGGATAATGTTTCCTTAATATAACACCTATGCATAACTTCATTGTTATCTCATTTAAGCATTTGACTCCTTTCGCCGTATGAGAAACCATTTAATGCCATATTGTGGAAAAGTTTCCAGATTTTATGTTACACATTTGGTTGATTAGAACCATTAACCGGAGCAAAATTTATCTCCCTTTAATCAAACCACTTAGTTCGTACAGGGTATTTTGTGGCCTTTTCTAATGTAAAAAAATTATATAAACAGTAAAACTGTGCAGTTTGATAATAACAGCTGTCTAAATCAGAATATTGTTTCGATTAACAACCAAACAAAAGTTGAGCACTAATTATAGTTGGTCATGGTAGATAGCGAGAATACGCTTTATTTTATGCAAAAAAAAAAAAAGAATTGCACAGTTTGATAAATTATAATGTAAAATTTTCTAAATTATTACTTTAGTTGTTCATGTGTATATACGCAATCTACATCTATACACACACACACACACACACACACATATATATATATTATATTTTTAAAGAAAACTCCATGAACTATCATTCTACTGTTAAATAGATCCACGAGTCCTTTTGTTGATGAATATAATTTTGCTTTAGCAATGGGGCAAAGAGAAAGCAACTAACATATAGCATCATAAGTGAAGGGAAACTTGCCTTGTTTAGAGCTTTGAAGGTTGAGCCTCAATGCGTTGTTGTCCATGTGGTTTCTTTCAAACGTGGGAACGCTGTAGAGATAATCTAAATGCCGGCAGTGGAGTGTGTAATAAGTAAAAAGTTAATCTGATGCAAAGGGAGGGTAACTGTGTGGGCACAAGATGGTAAAGCTCATGATAGTATGTTA